TTGATCTAAATACTACTGTTGATGCAGCCTAAAATCGCACTGGCCTTTTTAGCTGCCGTATCAAACTATTGATTCATGTTCAACTTGTGGTCCACTGGGGGGGTTGCAGACTGCCAGAAATAGTGCAAATTGAGTCCACTTTTAGGGTTAGGGTTAGTGCTGGGGAATCATGGGAATTGTTCTTTTTCTGAGACATTGAGCCTTCTCTGTCAGAGAGCTCTGGTGCCACAATAAAATACAGTTCCCATGATTCCCTAGCACTAACCCTAACCCTAAAAGTGGACTCAATTTGCACTATTTCTGGCAGTCTGCAACCCCTGTAGGACTCCTAGATCCCTTTCACACTTAGTGGGGTTGCAGACTGCCAGAAATAGTGCAAATTCAGTCCACTTTTAGGGTTAGGGTTAGAGCTAGGGAATCATGGGAATTGTTTTTTTCTGAGACATTGAGCCTTCTCTGTCAGAGAGCTGTAGTGCCACAATAAACTACAGTTCCCATGATTCCCTAACCCTAACCCTAACCCTAAAAGTGGACTGAATTTGCACTTTTTCTGGCAGTCTGCAACCCCCCTTAGTCTTGGTAAGCCAGGTGTCCCCCATCTTATGTCTATGCATTTAATTGTTTTGCCCTAAGTGCAGTACCTTACATTTCTCTGTGTTGAAATTCATTTTGTTAGCTTTGGCCCAGCTTTCTAATCTATTAAGGCCATTTTGAATTTTCATCCTGCCTTCTGGGGTATTAGCTATTCCTCCTAACTTGGTGTCATCTGCAAATTTGAGAAGCATGCCCCCTATTCCTTCATCCAAATCATTAATAAAGATATTGAATAGCACTGGGCCCAGGACAGAGCCCTGTGGCATAGTGCCATTCTATGGTCAATGTCTAGCAGATGTTGACCACAGAGTTGCACTGGAGGACCTAGATATTCCTAGAGAGGCATTCCCTCAGGCAAAAACATGGTGTTTTTGTTATTTGATGTTTTTCCATATTCACAGGGGTCCTGTGCCCCTAACTCCAGCCAATATGGAGGGACGGGTGTACTTGCTATTGTTATTGCTATAACCACCACCACAACAACACATCTCTCCAGGAGCTTTCAAATGAAGGGTCAGGAGGAGAGCGTGAACAGGGCCCGGCGCCAGGGGTCGCTGTGGGGCGGTAAGAAGCCAGGCGGCCGCTCCCTCCTGCCTCCCTCCTCTCTGTGGCGCGGTCTGTCCAGGGCTGCCGCCTGACCAGGGGGCGGAGTCTCCCGGCTGGCCGGCCAGCAACATGGCGGAGGCGGAAGGGGAGAGCTTGGAGTCCTGGTTGAGTGAGTAGCCCCCCGACTCCCTCCGCGGACCGCGTCTCTCCTCGTCTCCTTCCGCCGGGGAAGCGCCGCTCTGGCCCCGGCCGCCTCCCTCAGTGGCAGGGGAGGAAGCCTCCGTGGGGTGGATGGGGGCAATGGAGGCAGAGGGGAAGGGGTTTTTTTGGGT